CAGAGTACCTCCCCTGCCAGGTGAGTATCTAAATCAGTCTGTTTTAAAGGTAGAGCCTAGTGTCTGCTGACATTAGATACGAGAGGAGAAAAACAGGAGGAAATCAGAAACGGCTCTAAGTTTCAGCCTCAGCAACTGGAAGCGCAGACTTGTCTCCAACTGAGATAGGAAGACTACGGGCCTTCGGTTTGAAGGGAAATACTCAGAGCTCGGTTTTGGACACATTAGGGTTGAAACATGCACGTCTGACGTCACGTAGGCAACTGGATACGTGAGTTTGGAATTCAGGCAGAGGACCAGGCTGAGATAAAAATTTAAGAGTCGGCAGCACAGAATCGCGAGACTGGGAGGATCACCAAGTGAGGTATGCAGAGAAGAGGTCTAGGAATGAAGTCCTGGGTGTGCTCCACTGTTACGAGGGTCAGAAGGTGAGGAGAAATCAACAAAGGAGGGACCAGTAGGACAAGAGAAAAACAAGATTCCTGGAAGCCAACTGAAGAACAGGTTTCAAAGAAGAGAGAGGATCAACCCTATCAAATGCAGCTGGTAAGTAAGATGAGGCCTGACCACTGAATGAGCAGCAAGAAGGAAGTGGCAATCTGGACAGGAGCGGCTTGCGTGGCACGGCGCGGGAGAAAGCTTAACTGGAGGAGATTTTAGAGAGAAAGGAGAAATGGGAGACAGAACTACAGATAAATCTTTCCAGGAATTGTGCTATAAAAGGGATCAGAGAAACAGGTTAACAGCTGGAAGGAAGAGTAACTTAAAAGGCTGTTTAAGGGTTTTTCTTTTGTTTCATTTTGCTGTTTGTTTAGCTGGGAGAAATAACAGCACGGTAGTATGGACCTAGCAGAGGGGGTTAAATTGAGTAGGGGATGCAGATGAGATCTGGTGCTGGTGGGAGGGTCGGCCTTTCAGACCAGTTTGGATAGTTTATCTGGTAACAACAGAAAACACAGACTATACGAGTACAGATTCTGGTCCTTCTACCACATCTGTGGTAGAAGTCTGTGCAAGTTCTACTCGAATTGCTTCAGTTTTTTTAGTGAAATAGAAAGCAAGGGCATCGGCTGAGAGTGAGCAGGAGGGAAAGAATTTTGCAGACTTGAGAGAAGAGAGAGGACGGAGGGGAGTGTGGAACGAATGGATTGAGGATAGGATTGCTGAGCAGCATCAGGCTTTACTTGAGTTTTACGGCCATGGATTCAAACTATGGCAAAGTCCTTTTTCCTCAAAATAGCTACTGCTCCTTCTCCTGCACCATCAAAAAAGGTATTCAATGAAGTAAACAGTTACTAGAAAAATGTAATATCTCAATTTCTATGAAGTCTTCCAAAAACAGAAACCCTCTACTCAATGCCATATGGCAAATACCTTGGCAAAATCAGTTTATCAGAAGAAGCGAGCTAAATGACCCTCATTTCACAAAGAAAGTAACTCCAGAAGATAAGCTAGACAGAGAGGAAGTTAATATAGTTATCATGTCCAAAAATCCTACCCACCCAGTACTGCCCACTGGGGACTACCTTCTTTTTGGCCCACTATGAACCCTGAATGCTCCCCTGAACAAGCCATACCAGGTCAACTTCATCTCCTCTCACTTCACAAAACCATAAATGGATTGCGGTTTGCACTGCCATAAAGCTTACGGGAATGTTGGTACACCTTACTGGTTGAGACGAAGACTCCAAGGTAAGATTCTCATACTTTCCACTCTGCAAAAACAAGGGCTATCTATTTTTCTACCTGCAAATCTGAGATGCCTTCCCTGTTTCACAGGTAGCCAAAGTATTTTGCTATCTTCAAAATTACAAAAAAAAAAAAAAAAAAAGTATATCCTAGGCCTCTGATCATTTTACAATTAAAATTAATTCTCCCTTATAACTCACAGAAATTCTTAGAATTGTACTCTAATTGTTTTATGTTTAACTTTATGATAAAATAAAGCCCTCTTCACTCAATAATCATAAATCAAAATATTAATTGTAAACTTCTATTGTTCAAAATTAGCCTTATAGTAAAAAGCAAAAATTCTACTATTTCTCTGTCATCACCTTTTATACAGTCTGAACTTAAGAAAAAAAAAAAGCTAAACCCATTGTTCCACAAACAAGAGTCCAAAGGCAATGAAAATATATAGAATAAGAATCTAGTCAAAATATCCTTTCTGTACCTTCTAGAGTGGAAAGGGAAGGAAGGAAGGGAGGGAAGGAAGGGAAAGGCAGGGAGGAAGGAAGCAAGGAAGGATGTGGGAGGGAGAGAGGGAGGGAGGGAAGAAAACTGACAGAAGAAATGTCCCCTGAGTTTTATTTCCCCTAAGTCTTTATTAAACATTAACAAAGATGCATAAATCTCACATTGTAAAACTTAAAAAAAAGGAACTCATACTGTACCAAAAATGAGACCACATATTATGCATTATGGGGTTACAGTATTCATCTTGAAACAAGAAAAAGCAAGGATATGCTGAGAATATACATTACTCATCATTATAACAGGAAATTGGTATTTGACACTTGGAAAACTGGCCTCCTTCGTTCTCTGTTTGTGTCCAGACTCATATCAGCATCACGAAGTGGAAGAGGTCGCTGGGCGAACCATATGTCGCCATATCACCCCCATTACTCAGGCCAATGGTGTGGAACAAAACAAAACAGGTTGTCAGCCCTGAGCAGAGGCTGTCCTTTCTCCGTCTTTCACAATAATTCTACTGAGAGCAGTAACATTTTTCAGAGACTTAATAAGCAGTAACGCCCGTAAGCTCTTGTCAGGTGATCTTTCCTTCACTGTCTCTCAGCGTCAGCGTGAAAGCAGAGAGGGGGGGAATCCTTCTCCCTTCCTGCCCCACAAGGCAGCTAGAACCTGGGCAACACCTGCCTCTTCCTACGGGAGAAGAGTCCCCCCGACAGGAGCAGCAGCAGGAGGCAGAGACGAAAGGAACAGTGTGAAAAGAAATGCAGAACCACTTCCGTAGCTCTGAAATTTATACCGTGTGGCAGCCCAGCGTCTGGTAGGAAAACAGGAACTTTTATTTTGGTCTCCTACTGCCGGCTCCGACCTTTCCTGGCTGGTGAGTCGGTAGGAGGCCAAAGTGAAAGTGCTTATTTTTTTCCCCTTTGAAACACAGGGTAGTTCAAAGCTGTGAATTTCAAAATCATAACATGAGCTACCTAATTTTTAGAGGTGTTCTTTTATTGCCTTTGCTGGAAATAATATAAAACAATTGTGTCTGTGTATGTGCACAAAATGGGCACTGAGATGTCTATATTTAACAGGCAGAAGTTATTATAATCTTGACAATATAATTTATGACCATAACACAAAATATAGATGGTAGATATTTAAAAAAGACAAAAAACCTTGAAATCAAAATATTGGCCTTTCTTTAAGCTAAAGGGTCCCTTTATTCGATACAGAAAATTCAGATAGGTATTAATACAATAAAAAAAGCAATATAAAAGTGCAATTCAGTAAAGGGCTAATTTAAACATGTTAAATTTAAGGAGTCCCTGCTTGGTTTCAGTTACGTATTCTTACTGAGCTCCTGCTACACATGAGAAACTGAAGTACCACAGGGCATCCAAGGTAGGTAAGACACAGTCCTTTCCTCAAGGAGATTTTAACCTAACCGAAGAGGTAAGGGCAATGCCCACGTGAAAATGACACAAAAGTGTCAGAAAAACATCAGAAGAAAGACGCAAAAAAATATGATCAGGTCCCCATGGAAAGACACCGCATTCGAAAGATCCGACAAAGCTTCGCGGTAGTCACGGCATTTTCGATGGTCCTTGAAGGATAGGCCGGATTCCAAAAACGGGAGGTGGACGATGGAGAGTAAAGAACGAGCAAAGTCACAGACGCAGAAAAAGATCAGTTTTTTGCGGTAGTTATTTTCCGAACTATGCTTCTGGTAGAAGTCAACAGATAGGCTAAAAATAAAAAAGGATTCCGTGGACAAGTAAGTTTGGAAAACACTACAGCCTCTCTCTGAAATTCACGATGCACATTAGGATAGGAAAGGCTCTGAGGAGGGACTGTCACAATGTAACTGCCTGCCCCAAGTCTCCCAAACCTACGTGACTCTCTGACTACAGAATTCACTTGAAAGAACATCCACTCCCCAGACGTTTTCAGAAATACCGTCTGTGCAAAACTGGGCCACGGCTAGCGGAGTCTATTTCAGCCATACTGCAGGGAGCCTCCAACACCAAGCTGAGAAACAGTCTTCCTGAATGACAACAGTAAAAACGAGGTGCTGCCCCCACGTAGGGGTGGCATTTGTTACTCCAAACACGTCATAGAGCTTTATGAAAAGTATCCGTACCATATGCAGGATGGTAAATAATGAATTTCTATAATGCGTGTACATTTTTTATTGAGACATTCTTTTACTTCATTTTATGTTACAAGAAACAAGCAACTGTTTAATGGGAGAAATACACTTCTGGTGAGAGGGAGCCACAAGAGCAACAGTAATGGAAGGTAGCTGTGGGCAAAGCAAGACCAGCCCACGGCGCAGAGGCAGGTATGAAACGCGAAGGCGCTCCCACGCCTGGGCACAGCCCTGCCTCCCGAACCCTGACAGTAAGCCTCACAGCCTACAGGTCATTCAGATAAAATCAAAAGCTAAAGCTGCCCTTTAGTTTCCATGTTTGTATAGGAGAGTGAAGAATCACAGAACAGTATTTTAAAACGGTTCTATTGAAATATCAAATTGCACCCCATGAATATGTATAATCATGTGTTGATTAAAAAACAAAAAAATACACTACACCTAAAATGTATACTAATTATACCTCAAGCCAATTACAGCTAAAAGCCAAAAATAAAACTGAAAAACAACAAAACAAAAAACAAGTCTGACTAAAACTTGGAAACTCAAAATTAAAATTTTTTGACTAATTTATTTCCTAAAGGAACTGTAAATGTGCTGCTTCCTTACTCACACATAAGTCATAAAGATCCACACGCTTCTGCCCACCTTGATCAGGAGACATTACCTGCGGCTGGAACTGAGGAACAGGCTGCCCTTGCATTCCTTGTGATTGCTCATCCATCGTCTGAGGCAAGAGGAACTTTAAAACTCTGCAAAGATATAAAGGTGAAATTTAAATAATGCAATCACTACCAACTCACGTCATTCATCATATACTTGACACGTGCATTCAAACACTGGAGATTTACCTGATGCTTCAAAAATTAATCATTAAGGTATCTCACATTCCTACTTCTGGCATCTGCTAAACCCAAGCTCTGTTTAGCTCACACAAATATTCACTGGCTCAACCATTTCCACTTCTCCAAAGCAGCATTATGTGCTCAGAAAACCCTATTTAACAAGATGAAATTCTTTTATCTCCATTCTGTCTTGCAGACCAAAGACACTCCCTTCACCGTGGCCGCTGTGAGTAGATAAATACATGGGAAGCTCCTATCACTGTGCTCAGTATTTTACATCCCTAACATGGGACTTACCACACGCAATCACCGTTTCCCTGTAACTGATCCTTGTGTCAAGTTGTGAAATCTGAAATGTGAAACTATGTGCATACCAATCTAAGACAGATTTCAGATAAACACTTTCAGTAAAAGTTGTTATTTTTTGATTTTTCAAAATTCTAAAGAGTTGAAGTACACTAATCCAAATATTTCACAGTTTCCTGTTCTTGAAATGAACTTTCGCTTCACTCTTCAAGGTTATTCATAAAATCTTCAATATTCTTTCTAGTTATATGTGACATTTAAACATTCTGAGAATATTAACAAGACATATTTCATTGACCAAAACAACTGATAAATAACAACATAAAAAGATCAACTGTATTAAAATAGCAACGCTACCCTACCCAAATGAAAGTTACTAACTTAGCTATAGGTATATGCGACACCTAAAAAATGAGAGGGTAGCGTGGAAATTTTAGGGTGACTGTTACTTGGCGGAGCCTGAATACTCAAATCCAGAACTGAGTATTTTTCTTGGCCTCCAGTCACCGTTCAGCAGGAATATTCCTGACCTCACTCTCCTGTCTCCATTTAACTGACTGAGTCATGCAGCATTTTCCATAATCAAGCAAGTGACATACCCCTATCAGACAACACAAAGAAAATCGGGTACGAGTCCTTAAGAGTCAGTTGTTTATTGCTACATTTATGTGTTATCATGGGTAAGTTTTTAAGAACTACTAAGGTAACCATCAGATCTTTGGAGAGAGTAATGAACGTTTCTAGAGCATTCTAGTCTCGACATTTACAATTAAACACATTAAGCCAACCTAGCACCAATCCTGGTGTCCACAGCCATTCTGCACGTAAGGAGTCAGGGCGCTCCCGACAAACGGTTGGTTTCGGGGCTGGGGCTGGCAAAGCATAAGGTGAGCCTGAAACACCTTATTGTGCCAAAAAACAAGGCAGTGCTCAGAGAACAGCGTGAACATGTCAAAAGGACATGGCAGCCAGCTCGAATGTGTTCCCACAGGCCACACGGGGACAATTTGAAAGTAACAAATTATACAGCTCATTGAATAAAATGAGAACACGTGAGTGCATAAAAAAATTAAATAGTGGAAAGGGGAAGTTATTTCTTACAAAAGAATGCACCTAATAAAGAAAGAATGGAAGAATTTAAAAACCAATATTTGTTAGTCATGACAGAAGCAACTGATTCAGGCAAAAACCATCAATGGATGCTAATTAGTGGAGCAAATTATTCACATTGTTCCATGGTATAGTCTTCACAAAAAATACCTACAGACTACAAAGGGGAAAGAATAATTTCATAGTGGAGGACGTGGCAGACACTACCATAGCCAAATAAGTTAACATCACCAGCAATGGTACATACAGATACGTGCCTCCAAATACAACGCACTTAGCAGAAAACAACACTTCTGTGACATTCCTGCCGAAAACGCACTCTAAATTGTTTCTATTTTTTAATTGACAAATAAAATTGTATATATTTACTGTGCACAACATGTTTTGAAATATACACACATGCCAAAATGGCTAAATTGAGCTAATTAACATACGTATTACCTCACATACTTACCATTTTGGGGGTGAGAACACAATCTACTTGCAGTAATTTTCGAGAATGCGTTGTTACCCACAGTCGCCATGTTATACAATAGATCTGAACTTGAACCTCCTCCCTGACTGGAATTTTGTATCCTTTCACCAGTATCTCAACTACCCCCTCCCCCACCTCCAGTGCTGGTCACCACCGTTCCCTCTCCACTACTGTGAGTTCAACTTTCCTGGATTCCTCGCGTAAACGAGACCATGCAGTATTTGTCTTTCTGTGCCCAGCTTATTTAACACCATTTCCTCCAGGTCTGCCTATGTTGACTCAAATGACAGAATCTTCTTCTTTTTTAAGGCTAAACAGTATTCCCTTGCATAGATATATATATATATATATAGAGATAGATAGATAGATAGATAGATATCTATCTATATATATACACACACACACACACACACACACTACATTTTCTTCATCCATTCATCCACTGATGGAAACCTAAGTTGTTTCCATGTTTTGCCTATTGTGAATGATGCTGTAATGAATGTGTAATGAGATATCCGTTTGATATGCTGATTATATTTCCTTAGGATAAAACAGTCGTGGGATTGCTGGGTCATATGGGATGGCTGGATCATATGTTAGTTCTAGTTTTAATTTTCTGAGGAACCTCCACACTGTTTTCCACAATGACTATACTAATTTGCATTCTCACGCAGTGCTCAAAGGTTCTCTTTTCTCCACATACTTGCCAGCACTTGTTATCTTTCGTCATTTTTGATAACAGCCATTCTAACTTGTTTGAGGTGATATCTCATTCTGGTTTTAATTTTCATTGCTCTGGTGATTAGTGATGTCAAGCATTTTTTTCATGTCACTGTGCTGGCTGGCACAAACCCTGAATTTAATCATGAGAAAATACCACATAAACCTAAATCAGGGATATCTATAAAATAACTTGCCTGCCCTCTTCTTGCAGGGCCTCTCCAGGCACCCAGTGACGCCCGCCAACATCTACGGCCATAACACCCTGAACGTGCCCGAAGAGACAGAGACAATGAAGACCTACTCCTGTCTAAACCCAAAGGAGACGCAACAAATGAATTCAAGGAGCAATCCAAGATGTCTTTTGCTATAAAGGATATCACTGGGACAATCTGAATGAATGACGAATTAGAATAAGGATTGTACATTAGTGATAATATTGTAACAATAATGTCCATTTCCTGACTTTTACAATTATACTGTGGTTATGTAAGAGAATGCCCTTGTTTATAGAAAATATACAGTGAGATATTTAGGAGTTAAAAAAAAAAATCATGCCTATAACTTAATCTCAAACGTTTCATTTTATATATTTTTTATTGTTATACATATGATAAATGTAAAATCTTAATACTGAGGGAATCTGAGTAAAGGTCATACAGGTAAAGGTTATAGAGAAATTCTTTGTTCTATTCTTGTAACTTTTCTATGATTCCAATATTATGACAAAATTTTTTACATAAATTTAAGGATACAATATAAAAATGAGTAATTTCTACTACATCTGTGCCGACAAAGAATTAGATGCATTCCCTTGTGACAAAACCTTGCTTTTCTTTCAATAAGAACTACAGTACTACTACCAGAAAAGATACTATTTTTAAAACTCTTCAATCACTGTTCTAATTCAATAACCTATTATTTCTCATCCTCTCTACACTCTTATGCTAAAATTGTATCTTAAAATATTATTCGTACTAATTTGGGTACTATAAATCCCTATAAATATTAAATGTCTCAAAATAATGAAAAGTAAACGCATGTGTGCACACATATCACAAATTAGAATGACCCATTTAGAATGGCCCAAGATCTCAAGAAGATTTAAAACTATATAATCTGTGAGTGTAATCAATAGAAGAGATTTGCTTATGGGATTTTCATATTTCTTCTATTGTAACAATGATAATTGTATTGTTCTTTATCTAATACATAATTTCCTATAATATTAAAAACTCTGGAACCTGTGTCCTGTCACTCATGGCAAACAGTTTTTTTTTAAGTATTCTCAAAAAAGAAACAAGTTAAAAATCCAGGTATAAAATAACAAAATCACAGCACTGGAAAAGAATAAGAAGATCTCAGTCTAATTTAATTCCTACCCCACAGTTTTCTTCATAATGTAGAGTATTTGCCTTAATTTTGTTAAGAGCCTAATAATGGACCACAAAGAAATACACATTAGAAATAAACATAAAACATTTTAAAAATCACTAATACAAATTTAAGCAACAATGAAATATCATACAATTGATAGCCCACCAAAATGATACATATTTTTTAAATTATATGTAATTCTTACATGGGTATATAACATTTCTAGAAAGAAATATGAAAAAAAAAAATCTAGAGACATCACATTACTAGAATTCATACACTATAAGGCCATAGTAACCAAAACAGCATGGTACTGGTATAAAAATAGAGACATAGACCAATGGAGCAGAACAGAGAACAGACATATAAAACCACCTACCTACAACCAATTGATCTTCCACAAAGCAGACAACAACATACACTGGGGAAAGAAGCCCTCCCTCTTCAATAAATGGTGCTGGGAAAATTGGATAGCCACATGCAGAAGAATGAAACAGGACCCCTAGCTCTCACCACTTACAAAAATTAATACAAGATGGATAAAAGACTTCAATGTAAGGCATAAAACCATAAAAATGACAGAAGAAAATGTAGGAAAAACTCCTCGAGACATTGGCCTAAGCAAAGAGTTTATGAGTAAGACCCCAAAGGGAATTACGACAACAATAAAAATAAATACATGGGACTTAATTGAATTAAAAAGCATCTGCACAGCAAATGAAATAATCAACAGAGCAAACAGACAACCTACAGAATGTGAGGAAATATTCTCAATCTATAGATCCAATAAGGGGCTAATACCGAGAATCTACAAAGAATTCAAACAAAGCATGAACAGACTAAAAAGTGGGCAAAAAACATGAACAGAAGCTTTTCAAAAGATAGACAAATATATGGAAAAATGCTCAACATCACTAAT